GCTAATGTTTAGCAGGTTTTCCATGTTTATGTACAGCTGAGGCTGATGGGAATGGGAAGTTATCACCAACATTATTTAAATTCATCCTGAGGGGGACATGAAATTTAGCAAAAACATTCAATAGTTCAATAGCCTCATGGTGGCCCTAGGGGGAAAGTCCTAGGGGCTTGATCCTCTGGGAACTGACTGCCTGGACAAAATTTCAATACATTCAGTAGTTTTGAGATACTTCAGTCCGGACCAAAGCAATGGAGCTATCGTGGCTTGAAAAAATCCTAATCAACCCTCGTCCTGTTCATGTTTGTTTAATTTAAACAAAAGTCTGACATTATCTCAACACTGTTTCCCCCCTGTCATGTTTTCTCCAGATGTGGTGTGGCCCTGCGTCATGCCAGCTGGGTGCCAAAGGCCGAGGCAGGTGCCCATCAGGCCAGAGCTGCATCCCCATCAAGGAGGGCCACTGCTTTGTGAAGTCCTGCCTCGGCCTCGGCGAGTGCTGGCGCTCCAACCCTCCCCCGCCTCCCACCAAATGCCACCCCAGCTCCAGTTACCAGGACAACAGCTGCGCCAACATCACCTTCACCTTCAACAAGGAGAGCATGCCTCGAGTGAGTTACCTAGGCATCAAGGAAGGAGAGATTGAATTAAAGGGTTTTGGGGTCATTTTTCATGCCTCTCCTCTAGCACCACTCTTAAATGAATGGGAGCAGCAAAGTGTGAAAGATCAGGTTTTCAGAAGTGCTCAACCATCCCTCCTGGGCAGAAGATTTTCTTGTCTAAGACTCTTGAACAATTCACTCATTTATTTAAATGTGTTCCAGGAAGGAACAAAAACGAGGGGATATTTCTCTTTTCTCTCCCTGCTTTTTGTTTACTGCATCCAAGTTTTGGTGTTCTTGAGAATCAGACATTCACGACTTTGCGACTCATGCCAATCCCCTCTTAACCCGACCGCAATGCAAGATTAATTTCAGGATCATATGGATTTGAGCTGAACAGGACCACTGGCGACTCTGTCACCACATAGGATCATCACTCGCCAGTTCCCTAACAAGCATGACAGCAGATAGTGACAAGCATATGAGCCTGTGGTCTTTAATCTAAATGAGGTGGATCCCAACCAGATAGCATGTTGAACCTACTGCCAATGCAGGCCTAGCTCTTCCTTTTTCTTCTTGATTGCCCTCTATTTTTCCATGTGCATTAACATTTGCCTCATTTCTTCTTCATATCCAGAGCTTGACTGTGGAGGATGTGTGTAAGCAGCTGAGGCGCTTGTACGTAGTGAAGAATTTCTCCTTGGAGCATTCTGTGTCCATAACCTGTGACCCCTCATTCTCAGCCAGCAATGAGATCCACGTCTGCATCGTAAGTACCTCCTCCCACTCCCAGTCTGCCATATGTTTGTCTGCCTCTATTAATGCATACTCAAAGAAAAATCCCCTCTGATTTATAGCCTGCAGCATGCATTCTTAGCAGCATTAAGACATGTTCTAATGGGATATGTGATGGATTTAGCTGTGGTTGTATTGTGTCATCAGTTGACAGCAAGTAAACACGATCAATGGCAGATTTTAAACCTCACTTTCTTCTTCCCACTTGTAGTCTACTGAGGACCATCGCTTGGACCGGAGCCCAATTAAAGAGATCACAGACAGGATAATCGACCTGGTTAGCAAACGCAACGGGAACAATAGCATTATCACCGCCATCGCAGAGGTGCGCGTGCCAAGCCCCAGCAAAACTGGTATGAACTGCCTCCAAACTTTTTTTCTTGCCAGTAAAGCTTTTAAGACTTGCACACACTTGCATGTGTAGAAATGGGTGGGAGGATTTTTTTTACATTTTATTTTTGTTCCACTTTTTTTTCTTTAAAAAAACACAAAGATCTGATGAGAAAGAGCCAGGCCCTGAATATGACAGCAATTAGAGCACCAAAGATGAACGTACATGTGTGAAAAATAATTCTAACCTCCCACATAACTCGGCCCGCCCAGGTCTACCATCTCATGGCAGTTGTAATGGAGCTTAACAAGAATTTAGGCAGCATTTCGATGGAAAAAGCAGAGCTGCTTGGCTACGTGGCTTTAGATTGGCTCGTACTGTGACAAGTAAGACTCCCACATGTGTCCACCATTCATCAACACAGTGACAGCAGACTGCCGCCACGGCCAAATAGAAGCAGCCTTCCCCCCCTGTTCAGAGCTCAGAGGTCAGGTTGCACTGGCAAAAGCACGCTAATGATTTAGTAGCCTTGATGTAGTAGTATAATAAAACCTTTTGTGTATTGTTTAACTGGGACTTTTTTTTTTTTTTTTTACATTTGTGGGGTCTCTTTGACCTGTGATTGTCTCCTTTTCTTCCATCAGACTACCTAGTGCCCCTCCTCAGCTCCATCTTCATTGTCATCTGGGTCCTCGTGCTGGTCTCAGTTTTTCTGTGGTGCATGCGCCGCCGGCGGAAACAGAGCAACCACAACGGAACGGCGGCCACCGGCTCCGAGGACAACACAACGAACAACGTGCGGGAGCAGCTTAACCAGATCAAGAACCCTATAGAGAAGCACGTGGGCCTCACGGTGGCAATCAAAGACTACGAAAACAAGAACTCCATCATTGCCAAAATAAGGACAAATCATCCCGAGGGGGATGAGGACGACAAGGAGAGGCACTTACAGAAGGGCCGCTTTGCCAAACAGCCAGCATACACACTGGTGGAGAGGGACGAGAAGACGCCCATCTCCAATCCCAACTCCACATCCAAAAATCCTAATTGGACTAATAAACAGGACAACAGAGACTTGGAGACAGCAAACAGCATAAACAGGATGGACTACATTGTATAGCAGACAGCTGTGTTGCTGTGCAACCAAGCCTTATACCTTCACACCCCGGTGGTGGGTGGAACGGGGAGCTTTGGCATGTGTAGTTAGTAAACTGTCGTGTCAGTCGTGACCCCACAGTATTTTCAGATATTCCCCGTGTTAATTTAAGTTTTGACAAGCTGGCTTACACTGGCAGTGACAGTTGCTTTGGTTGGCTGGAAACACAAGGCACTGGTATACATTTCACTGTAGAACTAGTTTGCAAAAGTGTCCTCCTCTGCATTTCATTTCCCTGTTTTTTTTTTGTTTTTTTTTTTTTTTAAATTGAGTGGACACATGGAAGGGGCTCCTGATGTAATTGTTGTACAATGACTAAAACTACCCGACGTGTTCAACACTAGAGCTAATTATTTTTAGTACGTGTTTGAATTCTTTCTAGTTCCGTTTGGAGAAAGTGCCTTTTCCGCTTTAGACTTCAGCAACTGTCAAATGAGAAAAAAAGATCAACTTTATTATTTATTTTATTTTTGGGGGGCTGAGGGATGGGGAGGGAAGGGTTCAATGTCAGCAGTTGCTGCCAATATGAAGAATTTATGTGTCGATTTAGAACATGTAGATATGTACATTTTTTTTTATTAATCATTGTGTATATTTGATTTATTAACTTAATAATCAAGAGCCTTAAGATATCATTCCTTTTTATTTATATGTTCTGTCTAGTTTGAAGGTTTTGATAGCTGTGGAAGCCTACCATTTCTTTCAATGACTTTTTTTTTCAACACATTTTGTAAAAGCCAAATTTCAAAGAAGACAAAGGATAGGCACTTTTTGCCTGAAAGAGAGACTTTTTCTTTTGTTTTTCCACACATTTGACATTTCATTATTTGTTGCCAGGACCTTGATTGAAGGCAAGTGAGGTTAGGACAACAAAAGATCACGGCTGCTGCGAGGAATGGACATGGTGGCAGACATATTGCTTGCCACTAATGGATTAATACTTAAGGGAACAAAAATCCTTTAGCAGCTTCAGTTTAACCCATTGACACATTTTAAAAGGCTGTCAAAATCCACCAACTTGCAAGGCAAGTCACATCAATATGACACGCCAGAATTCCCATCTGCTTTAGTCAGCATAATATCATAAGCTAGACCATGAGTACTTGAACAGTAGGGGGGCAATGGGAACACTGTAGAATCAGATGAAAACACTGCCTTACTTGGCAAGAATCTGCTTTTGTTTCTGTGCACATTTGTTTCTTTTTAAAAATGAGGCTCTTAAAGACAAACATGTTTTATCTCATTTGTTAACCCTTTGAGATCATGGCAACATTTTGTCCTATTTTTGACTTTGTGTTATGAACTTGAGAATTATGTGTTGATCTGGCAATATATTTTTGAAAGTCATATTTATTAAATATTTTGTATGAAAAGAGAATTAAAGTTGTCTTTGTTCTGGAGAGCGAGTGAGGAGTCTGTCTGTGATGCATCAAGCCAAACATGTCAGAGCATATGAAAGGTTTCTCATGCAGCTGGCGTGGGAACGGCTGCTGGAGAGACATCATAGACTTGAGCAAGGTCTCTGTCCAAATGTGTTTACAGCTAATTGCGTTGTAGCAAGCCATCGTTGTATTAAGTCAATCCTGGAGACAAAAATATCCTCACTCCTCATGATCCTTAGACAATGTTGCCCTTGTTGGTCCGGTTTAAGTAGCAGGCTTAACTAAAACCTTTCAAACCAGGCCTGAGAAGCCTAAGTTGTAGAGTTGAACTGATTTTAAGACTTGGATCTGCAAAATCCTGTTTTGAAAGGATTAATACCAAAACAAGAGATTATCAACACCTCTTGAGAGTTACCTTAAACATACTGGGACTTAAAACAGTAAGGTCACTTTCACTAATCCACCATATTGTCTCCGTCTTGATAAGAATCATCTAATACTGACAGAGAATGGGAACGGAGAAGGACTGGTTTACTGGTAACATCACTGTTGTTGGACAGACTTCCCCTGTCAAACTGCCATGAGCATCGGCCAGGCTTGACTGTGTGAGCAAAACAATAGCAGAGATCTACATGTTATTTCATGCTGGCTGCTTCCCGAAGTTATCAGCCTATTTGCATTTCCACAAAAATCCACAGTTTTTTTCTTAGGAAAAACAAATTTATTTATATCACAAAATGTCTTTCCAGCTAAAATAATAAGGCAACATCATGTTATCAAGTGCAATGTCTTGGGCTTTACACGCAGGTAGGAGTGACTATAATTACCCCATGTTGTCTCTTGGCAAGGGCAGGAGCGACGACAGCAGCTACATTTTAACCTGTGATACTGTAGATGTCCTGCTATTTCCAAAGAAAACCACTAATATTTCAATACTGCCCATACACCCATACATTTTTGGTTTAAATTCAATGATAAAAGCTCCATAATACCCTCAAATTTAAATATACATTTCAGGTGCTTAGCAACTAAGTATTGAGCAAATTGTATATGAATGAAATCTAACTACAACAGTACATTTTTGAGAATAGGGTGATGAAATAAATCTGGAAACAGCAATCAATCACAGCAGAGCTTCAGCGGGGAAACTGGACAGTTTTCAGACACGTAGGAGCCAGTATTTCAGACTGAAAGCCATGACGTACTGCATGGCTCCTGCCTGTCTGAAATCCCCAATCTTTAACACAAAACCAAATCTAAACTCCAATTAAAGGTTTTTGACTTTCATTTGCGAGCCTCTCTTGACCACCACTACTTATGGGTGGAGGCAAAGTCTGTTTCAAGTATTTGACAAAGTGTAACTCAAACACTCATGTATCAATTGCTATAATATGTTTAGCATTTGATCTGTGTGTGTGTGTGTGTGTGTGCACTGTATATACAACACATGTGAAAAGAATAGATAGTGAAGTAAAATGTGACACTAGTACAAATTCATGTCATCTGAGGAGACTGCATGGGGTAAACATGTAGCCTGACACAATATCATCTCTATCTCTGTGGCGTCAGGCATCTTTACTGTAGCTTGTCTCTCCCCCTCAGGACCTCTTCAGTCGTCGTAATCTAGAGGTTCTGGGCACATTTTCACTCCCCTCCTCTTCGAGTGTGGATCTGGAACTAATAGAGGAGCCTGAGGATGCAGGCTTGACAGATAGGCCCCTCAGACTTGCGGCCAGCCTGTTTTGGTTTGTCTGTGCCGTGTTATTGCTTGTGAGGGGGAGCCTCTGGGCCCGTTTCCCTAGAGTAAGCAGCTCTACTTCCAGTGTGGTTTTCTTGCACTCGGAGACTGGGAAAGCCTTGGACTCTGCCTTGGCTTCGACTGGAGGAAAGGGCGGCAGAGGAAGAAGGTCATGCTTGGATGTTTGTGTGGAGCACTTGGTGGAGTTAGTTTGCGTTGTGGCTGGAGGTCTTCCAAGGCACGTCCTCTTGGCCCTCTGTGGGTGAGGGTCTTCCCCTACATCGCTCGACTTGCACCTCTTGCTCTTGCTGTGCTCCTCCTGACTGATTTCATGTTGGCATAAAACTACAGAGGCACCATTTGGGTTGATGCTGTCTGGAGGACTATTCTCAGTCTGCTGCTCCAGGGTCAGACCCTGCTTTCGAGTAGTCACAATCTGAACCACAGCTTCATTTGAGGCACTAGTGAAATGCACCTTGTGGTCTGCCTCTGGGAAGGCCTTCTGTCCAGAGCTGGTCGATATTGGGCTTGATTCTGACTCGCCAGCTGTAAGTCCCCCTGTTTGGTTTTTGAGGCAGGCTCTCTGGTCAATCTGCAGCTCCCCCGTACTGGACCCATAGCGGTCTCGCTGGACACAAGCTTGTTTAGCTCTGAAAAAGTTAAAAGGATAAGAGGATATGAACAGATACTCGAGTGTCCTCTCTGACTGGTGGGGTTGGAAAGTTCTGCATTAGATCATACTTACATCTTTTGAAGCACAGTCTTCTTTGTTTTTGTGAGGCTGTTTAAAGGCTCTTGGGTTTCTCCAGCTCTGGAAAAATATTCCGATCTGCTTTGTTCGCTCAGCTCAGTCTAGAGAGGACAAACAGAATCGGTGTAAACAAAAAATATTATTCCTGGCATTCCCTGGAAAGGTTTGGCTCTACAGCAGACTGCTGTCATTATCTGGCTTTGTTGGAAATGAAAAAAACATTCACTAGACTGTTGTAAAAATGATCATCTAATGAATAAAATTAAAACACAAAATAATCCAATATGATAAACAAATAAACTTTATAGAAATGAATCCTTGTCTGATTCTCATGAATTCAAAATTGTGTTATCGCCTCACTATTTGAACTATGATACAGTACAAGAAGAATGTTTTCTATAATGCCTTTAGAGAAACTTAGTAACCCCAAGTGGTACAAAGAATTAGTCCCCCACTTAAAACTGTCCAAACCAACCACCTCAAAAGGCTTCAGAAAATAATCACCGGTTTGTCATAATGTGACATGTGTTTCATAGTCTCCTCTGTCTGAGGCTTGGAGTGATGCTTGCAGCCGGAGGCAGAATTACTAAACAGCGAAACCATGTTGACAAGTTAAAACAGCGATTAAAGAATGATCAATAATAAGGTGGCAAGGCAGAGGAAAAACACAACCAAGCATGTGGATGGAAAAATGCAAAAATGGGGTGAAGGCATTTCGGAGGACAGGATAAAATAAAAACAAGTTAGTGGAAATAGCCTAATAGTTAGACTGTAGAGGCACTTTCACTGGTTTAAATGCAGACAGTCTCTCTTCACTCTCAAGGAAACTGTATGGTTTCGTGTATTGAGTATGAGTACTTATTTGATTCAAATCTTTACTCTATATGCCACTATACATCTAAGCTTCTGTAAAAAGCACATTCTTAGTTGGCTAAAGTGGTTAACTATGGGTTGAAAGTTCAATACCCACATTCTAAGGGGAACCTCTGAGGCAGAACAAGGAACGGGCCAAAGATTGGATCTCACCAACATGTGCCCTCAACAGGCCACTAATGAAGGTTAATCACAGGTCTTTTCCTTGGCTGACCTCGAACAGACTCTGGATTTATGAGAGAACAAGAGAAGCTGGTGGTAAATTGAGCAGAACTTAAGGGTTGAGAGCCTGTCAATTTATCATTAATTAATTGCATCGAAAAAGTTGGTGGGAGAATATCAGAGTAGCTCCGGCATGAAGCTCTTCATCTGTATGCTGCTTATTTTGGTTAGAGTAACATGCCGGAAACAAACAAAACTGAGACTCTACAGTGCTTTGACCTATCTACATGCTAACATGAGCATGCTATCATGCTCACAATGACAATGCTAACAAGCTCATGTTCAGCAGGCATCATGTTTTCCATGTTCACCATCATTAGCATGTACAGCTGAGGCTGATAAGAGTGTCATTTGTTCATAAATCAAAGTAATGGACAAATTAAAATTTGACCTGATAGGACAAGAGTTAAAGGTCAAGTGTGTAGGATTTAGTTGCATCTAGCAGTGTAGTTGCAGATTGTAACTCCATCGCTTCACCCTACCATTCCAAGCGCAAAGTTGAAGCTATGGAGGCCACAAGAACGTGCAAAAACTCCCCTATCTAGAGTCAGTGTTGGTTTATCCTTTCTGGGCTACTGTAGAAACATGGCAGTACAACATGGCGTACTCCATGGAAGGCAATCCGCGGCGTCTGTAGATAAAAACGGCTCATTGTAAGGTAACGAAAACACGATTCCTTTATACAGGTGATGAAAACATTCAGTATGTGTAGTAGCAGATCTACCATTCAGTACCTACACATTGGAATTCAATGTAGGCTAATAAGGCTGTCACTGGCCTGAGATTAGCGGGGAAGCTTCTGTGCTGATGGTGTTAGTCAGGGGTTCATAAAAGTAATTAGGATTCATCTTCTTGCCACAACAAATGCCTGTACCAAATCTCATGGCAATCCATCTATAGTTAATAGATATTTCAGCCTGCACCAAAGTGGTTGTCCAATTGACTTACTGACAGACTGACAGACTGACATTGACATCCATAGAACCACGCAGCTAACATGGTTAAAAAACAAACAAACTATAGATTATTGCACTGGGAAAATATACCCAGACAGAAGCTAAATCTTTCAAAAGTTCGAGGTTGTGGCCACTATGTTTATTTAATATCAGCCATTTTCAGATCATTACTATTCCATAAACTGGTTGGTAAAATGATCAATGTGCACTCTGAGACAGGGAAAGCCAATGTGGTGAGCTCTGGCATCCACTACTTGCTGTGAACACAGAGAAAAAATCATTAATGTCCTCTCTCCCACATGCCATGATACCAGTGACAACGTATGACCCGACACACAAGGGGGAAGGAGTAATTGTCCCAAGCTGCAAGGGCAAGCTGGGGCATTGTGGCTTTGCACTGGGTGTTGAGACCTAGCAACTGTGCAATGGTCTGTGGTGTGGTGGACGGAATAAAGAGGCCAGACGGAGGGAGGGGAGTGAATAAGGAGGCTGGGCAACAGGGAAGTAGGCGGAGATGACAAGAAACAAGGGACAAGATACTACAGAATGAATACAAGAAAGGGAGAGCGTTTAGAGGGGAGGGCAACAAAAGAAGAGGCACCCCCCAGAGAAATATCGGCTGACCTCAACAGTCTCTCCAGCATGCCCACAAACACAAGAATCCTCACACAGGAAGTTCTCCACAGGCTGCCCTTTGTGTAGAAATGGAGTCATATTCGAGTGTGGGCAGAGGTTCAGTCTTTACTCTCTCTCATATCCAGAGCTACGACTAGCCTTGGATTTGGATTTGAGACAGTGACACATACAAACTTGCATTTGCCTACGCACTCACTCACACACCCACCCCAACAACAACAATTCTGAGAAAGATGTGGGTGCCATCATTTGCATTGTAATGCCTTGATATGTATTCTGAACTGTTTAATATGAATAAGTGCCGTTTGAAAATGAACTTGAAAGAAAAATCAACAAGAAGCCAATGGGAGGTTCTCTGGGAAAGTTTAGTGCCTTTCTGTTCCTGTCGGCACGACTTCAAAAGAGCGAGAGAGAGAAGAGTGAAAGAACAGAGTGATGGAAAGGAAGAAGCATGAAGAGAGGAAGAGATTGGATATACATAGCAAGTAGTAGCAGAAAGACAGAAAAGTCAGACAGAGAAAGAGATGGTGCATGAATTATTATCACCAGGGGTCCAGGGGTTGGACATTCTGTATATAGCAACTAGAGAAGAAAGTAGAGGGATTGAAGATGGAGAGGGGGAGATAAAGAGAGAAAGAGAGAGCGTGAGATGGTGCATGAACAACATAAGAATTATCACAAGCTATGTGGTGAAACAGTAAGTATTGTGTGGGAACTGAGGTGGCCTAATCTTGTACAGAATGATGCAAACTCTCAATAGCTGGAGAGCGTCCCATGAAACAGGAGGGAGGGACGGTGGTAAATAAGAAATTTCTACCCGCCGCCGCCGCCGCCGCCACCGCCACCACCTCTCCC